TTTTGTACTGCTATTTGCTTTCATTTTTTGCATTGTATATATAATATTTTTTTACTGAATAATATAGACTCATTTTGTACTATTATACTTTTAACTTTTCCTACCAACAACAATTGAGCATGCTCAAATAGATTATTACATACTTATTGTGGTTACTGTTTAGCCATTAAGCCAATGAATTATGAGATAATTGATCAATGTGTTCCTGGTCCTGGTGTCCAGTTGAAACTTGACCATGTCCTTTATGAATCATGTGACTGTCATGTGACCTGTCAAAAGGAGGAGTGTCCCTGTATAAAGAAATGCTTGTATGATGAATATGGAAGACTTTCTCAGGAACTTATGTCAGAGACAACGTGTCCAATATTTGAATGCAATTCAAAGTGTACATGTACCTTAGGCTGTATCAATAGAGTGACACAAAGAAAAGGAACTGTGTTTGATAAAGTAATGGTAAAGGAGACTAGTAATAAAGGAGATGGGTTGTTTGCTAAGGAGGACATTCCTATAGGAACATTCATTGGGGAGTATGTTGGTGAGATTATTAGGGTCTCAACAGCCAAGGAAAGATTGCAGAGCTTGTCTCCTCAAGACTCTTGTTACATAGTACAATTTAAGGAGAATAGTGAGGGCTCTGATGTGATCATGACAACTTGCATTGATGCTCGTTTTTATGGCAACTACACTCGCTTCATAAATCACTCTTGCTCTCCTAATTTGGTGATGGTAGCCGTTCGTCGTGACTCCATTGTCCCTAGTCTTTGTTTCTTTACATGTGCAGCTGTTGGAGCTGAGGAGGAGCTGTGCTTTAGCTATTGCGAGGGAAGTGAGACTGATGAGGTCTCATTGGGTCAGAAACCTTGCTTCTGTGGATCAACAAACTGCAGAAAATATTTACCACTGCAAAGTAGTTAATTATTGATTATTAAAATTAATGTTAATCTTATTTAATAACTGGATTGAGCATGCGCACAACTTTGCTTGAAACAAAATGGCGGACAATGTTGAGCTTGATGACGAGCAATTGTTGAGGAAACTCCTTGAGACTATAGCAAGAGGGAAAGGAGAAAGTTCCAGCTCATCAGAGGGGATACAAGAGAGCGTGGCTCAGCTTCTTGCAGCAGCTCTTAATCAAGTCAGCCAGGAAACAGGCTCTGGTGATATTCTTGCGTCAAATGAGGTCGAGATAAATAATGTGGATAACACAGTTGAGGTTCCCTCTTCTTCTGCTCCTACTGGTGGGATCGCAACTGCTGAGCGACAAAAGAATCTTGGAATTAAGTTTTCTCCTGAGATTCGACGTACAATAGTTAACTATCGTAAAGGAGGAAAGAGGTACGTACACATCTATTTGTTTATTTTACTTGATATATGTACACGTTTTTAAGAAAAGTCCAATTTTATATTTTTTATATGTGTACATGTACTTATGTTACATAGAAATTTTGAATGGATTCCGATCAAAATTGGATTTTTTACGAATTTTTAACGTTGCTCCAAAATTGGCTAAAAGCCCCTGTACTATAGTACAGGGTATTTGGCCAAATTTTGCCAAAAATGACTAGGAGAGAATTTTTCATTTTTATAATTTTTTCTGATGCATATACATGTTCTTATGTTGTATAGAAAGTTTGAGCGGATTCCAATCAAAAATGGATTTTTAACAAATTTTTAAAGTTGCTCCAAAATCGGCTAAAAGTTCCTGTACTATAGTACAGGGTATTTGGCCAAATTTCGCCAAAAATGACTAGGAGAGAATTTTCCATTTTTATAATTTTTTCCGATGCATATACATGTTCTTATGTTGTATAGAAAGTTTGAGCAGATTCCGATCAAAAGTGGATTTTTTTACGAATTTTTAAAGTTGCTCCAAAATTGGCTAAAAGTCCCTGTACTATAGTACAGGGTATTTGGCCAAATTTCGCCAAAAATGACTAGGAGAGAATTTTCCATTTTTACAATTTTTTCCGATGCATATACCAGACATGGGGTCAATTACATTAGAAAGTAATATATTACTATTACTATTAACTAGAAAAAAATTCTATTACTATTACAATTACATGTTTAGTAGATGTAAATGTAATATATTACTATTACTATTACTCCACTAATTTCATTATTACTATTACTATTACTGCATATGCATGACTAAATGTAATCTAATTATATTACGATTACATTATAATTTCAAATCAATTCTCTTTAAAGCAAATGACCATTACATTTTATACTTATAAGTTTCTCAAAAACAGTATCAGAAAGTCTGCATCGTTCCGGTCTAAAAAATTTCCCTCCTATACTGAATACCACTGGAGCAGATGAAACTTTTGTCAGAGCAGACAGACTTGAATGCACATACATGTACCTGTACATGTACATTGAATACTTGTACAATAATGTATTATAATATGTACAATTACTATTATATTACTATTACTTAACTGTCTCCTACTATTACAATTACTATTACTTGGTTTTTTGATTCCTCCATTACTATTACTATTACAATTACTTCAAAACATGTAATCTTTACTATTACTATTACTATTATCTATTACTATTACCCCATGTCTGGCATATACATGTTTTTATGTTGTATAGAAAGTTTGAGCGGATTCTGATCAAAATTGAATTTTTTACAAATTTTTAAAGGTCCGAAATTGGGCCAAAGTTCCTGTACAGGCTATTTCATCAAAAATGGCTCGAAGAAAATTTTTATGAAAACAGCTGAAGGAGACAATCAAAAATGTACATTTCCATGTGCTTAATAATTTATTAAAATAATTATAATAATTGAAAAATGAAGTGCACATCTTTTCTCACTAAAAGGCACTTAGAATGATGCCATATCATGCACATGGACCCTTTTCCTATGCTTCATATTCTTAATTACTCAGGTATCGTGACATTGCTAAGGAATTGGGTGCTTCTGTCAGTGGTGTTCAAAAAGTCTGGGAAAGGTTTTTATCAACGGGTACAATCGGTGACAGAAAGCCTTCACTTCCTGTCGGTCGCCCGCGGAAATTTGGTAAAACAGGAGATGTGGTGAGTAGAGCAGTACCTCTTGATGCATTAATGCTAGTTATCATAGGAACCATCACTACCGAGTACAGAAGAGAGAGAAGGGGAGGAATATATAGAAACCTCAGCAACAGGTTGGTAGTTTCTTTATGAAGACAAAACATTTCAAATTTAAAAATTACATATACAAGTATGAATTGATCATTTACTACTTAACTTAATTAATCGTGCATGCCTGACTTCCCTTGCTCTTTTTCTCCAGGAGAGTGTCCATTGCAAGCAGTTCTCATAACTGATGATAATAATATCGAAGAACCAATGGACGTCCCTGGGGCTACAGTTGAAGTGGTTGCTACAACCACCAACTCAAACCAACCTGCTTCAGTGACTGAAAAGAAGAGCACTAAACGTAAAATAACCACTCCCACTTATAGAGAGGAGCTACTCTTAAAGTGAGTGATTGGAAGTTTTTTATTTACAAAATTTCCGAATTTATTTATTCTTCCCAATGATGAGATCATCCTTGCGCTCAGAGTGCCATGGCAACTGTTGCTATGACACCAAGAAGACGAATTGGGACCTGGTATTCATTACTAGGGCAGAGGGAAACTGATAGAATTATAATAATATTGTAACCTTGAA